CGCATCCTAATCCCGAGAATGCTCATATCGGAAGGCGATCGAACACCGGATCGCTTCCGACCGTTGTTGTTGTCTCGCCGTTCACGTTGTCGTCGTGTCGTCACCGACGCTGCATCCGAGACCGCCTCTGCCTATTCTTTCGTCTCTTTCTCCCTTCCCTTTTCTTCCTTCCTTTCGAATGACGCGAACATGTCGTGAGAAAGTGTCGACGGAACGCGCGAATCAGACCGACGCGACACCAGGTGCGTCTTCCGTAAAACCCCGCGTGGAAACTCACACAGAACATTTCCCGGGATCTGCTGAGACTACCTATAATTCGACGGCGAATAACCGCATAATATTGCATGAAGTAAATAAGCATCCGTCAGGAATTACCTTGTGAATGTCGCCTTCTAAATATCGATATTTCGCAACATTTCTCTAGAGATTTTCTCTGGTTCTTATTTTACGTTAGAGTGGGAAACAAAACACTTCGAGCTTCGAAAGGCTTTCTAAGTAAAGTCACGCTAAGTAAGTCGCGGTAAATACGAGAGTGTGAAAATCTCGCGGGACGATTAAGAAACGTCTGTGGGAGGATTGTACGCTAAGGACGTCGCTCGTACGAATCGCTTATACGATCGTTCCTCGATGAAACCTTGATTGGGCTATCGGTAAGTCGCATCGCCACGTGTTTAGCCGCGCGCGTTATTCGAGAAGGAACATTTTTATTTTTCATTATTGCGCGTTGCACGGCAAGCCGCAAGTAGGATGTGTATTTCGGTGTCGCGATTACATCTCCACCGGTGGGGCCACCGGTGTGTATTCGCTGGACGATTAATATCTCCTTCGTTCCCAAAGATAGCCTGCCGATCTAACCGACTCGTTATGAACGATTCAAGGCGGCTTCGCGCGATAGATCGCCGCGGAGATCACCGGATTGTTATCCGTGCCGGATAAAAAACGCGGAAAAAAAAAAACACGCGCCGAGCTTGAAACGAGCCAACTATTTTCGGGACACCGGCGGGGGGCAGCGGGGGGCTGAATTTTTAACGACGCGCTATTATTTTCCCAGCTTGACAGCCGCGGAAATAGACGGAACGCGTCGTCGGAGATGCGAGTCATATTGATAAATTTTCACGTACATACGTCGCGTCGTCCTCATCTCTCTTCCTCTCTGTTTCTCGTTTTCTTCTTTTTTTTTTTCAACAAATTTTCAACACACTCGAATATTTTCCCCGAAGGCGGTCCCCGATCGTTCATCCAATTCGGCACGTTTATTCAATCGTCATACCCGCGATTAAATAAAGAATGAGATTCGTCGTTTCTACACGGAGAAAAATATTCTACCGCTAAGAAAAGCGATTACTCAGTTTGATTGTTATTCGACAAAGAATTTTTTCTCTTGATAATAATCGTGAGGTATACTCATCGCACATTTTAAAAAAGGTTATTATCACGTACTCGAAAGAAGAATTCACTCTCCTTTCGAGAATATTGTAAACTTTATCGAGAAAAGTTAAATTCGGTTCATTTGAGTAAGATAATCGAAGTTAAATATTTTTGATTGAAATATACTTACTACGATTCAAAATATATTTGGAATAAATTTGATGCTTATGATGAACTGATGATTATTTGTGGACATATAAACTTATGAGATACTTGGAACGAGTAACATTTACTTGAACGCAGCATATGCATCTCTGCATGTATTCATCGTTTTCTAGGAGAATATCGATTTACGATAGTCTCTTAATTTTTAATTACTCATAATTGAAAAACCGATCGTATCTTGATTCTCTCTTCCTCTCTCTCTCTCTCTCTCTGTCTGTCTCTATCTACCCTAACATTCTCACTCGAAACACCGTGGAGAGCGCGGAGCGCGGGGAGATCGGCAGACTGCCGCCCCCGGAACCGTATTAGAAGCGGTCCGATGCATTAGTGATAACCGTTATCTATTCCGGACGTCACCGGCGGCCGAAAATAGCGGTAATCGAAGAAGACGGAGAAAGAGAGAGGAAGTGAGAGAGCACTGCGGCGCAGGCAAGGGTGAAGGGACGCGGCGAGATCCCTCTCGTCGTCGTCCTCGTAATCGTGGTCGTCGTCGCGAGTGCGACGAGGAGAAGGAGAGGTATATAGATAGATAGATAGAGAGAGAGAGAGAGAGAGGGTTGTGCTCGCTAGTAATGTCGGGGCAGGTTCGCTCGTCGAGGTGCGAGAAAGGAAGCGTCGTTTCCGCATCGCGATTCCGCCCCGTCATTGGCTCCGATTCCGTGCTAACGTTAAACGCGCGCCGGCTACGAGCGAGAGAGAAAGAGTGAGAGAGAGAGAGAGAGAGAGAGACAGTGAGAGCGAGAACGAGCACGAGAATGAACGGAGGTGAACACAGGCTTGCGGGGGTGTCGGTGGGAGACGAGAGGGGATGATTTTAGGGATGGCCGCTGCCCCGTACACCGTACCCCGCCTCATCGATAATATACGATCGTGCATGATTCTGCTTCGTGTATCACAATGGCCCTCCGGGCAAGCCCGTTCCACCTCTATCTACGTACCTGGCGCGCCGAACTACCGGCGCCCGAGTCCGCGGTGGATAATGAGTGATTAGGTAATTAGTTGTCCAATATTCGCCCCATCCGCCCGTTCCTTCCTCCCTTCTTCCCCCCGCGTCGCCGCCGACGTTCTCCCGTCTCTCCTCTACTCTCGGTCTGTTCGCGATCTTCCCCGGCACCGTTCACCAGCGCCGGCCGCGTACTCTCCTGCTACCGTTCGACCGGATACGTTGACCGGAGCAGTGCGAGCGAGCGAGCAAGTACGCTTACGTGCGGCTCGCGAGATAACGCAGACGAAGCTTCCCTCCACGTGGCCGCGAGAACGCCCGGATCGCGTTCAACGGATAAACCGATAATCCGAGAATCTCGTCGAGAGAGAGGAAGACAAGAAGAGATCTTTGATTTTGATCTTACTCTCGAAATTTCTCGGAGCGAAATTTCGAGCGAAAAGTGTGGCACATACTCGGCACGACAACCGAGTCACTCAAATTCGAGTGGTTTTCTACGCGTACAGAGTGAATTTTTCACTCTGCATCGCGTCGAGTCAATTTCTCATTTAAAATAGAAGAGAATGAATCTCACGTATTCCATCGTCACATGGACAATTTCACTCTGATCAATGGGAACATTCACTCGTCCGGGGTCGACTACTTTGACCAAAATAAGCTCGAGTGAAAGATTCTTACGATTCCGAGTGGTGATATTTTCACAATCGCTTCTAGCGAATTTTTATTCGTTCCGAGTGAGAAATTCCAAGAAATTTAGATAGTCGATGACGTTGCGTCGAGGTAAAAAACTCAACGTGCCGAATTGCATGGTTAACTTTGAAAAGAGGGAGATGAGGAAAAGCGCTTTCGAGTGTAATAAACGTCGGAAATATTTTGACGACACTTCCGCCGTCTCATTAAAATCGAAGATACGCTGCGTTCGCTCTGCATCCTTAATCTTGTACGACATATCCCTCTCGTCTTGTATCCCACTGATCAGCTCGGAAACTTCCTTTCGAAAGCTGCCGCGATCTCGTCGGGTTTTCAGCGTTTACGAATGAGCATTTCAACGGCGGACGCGACGAAAGCGCGTAATAAATTGGCCGGTGGAATATTTTCGCGGGAATCGCCCTCATCTCGACCCTCGCTCTAATCGCGCGAGGAGTCCGAGGTTTTCACGGCGCGTATCGATTGCGCAGCGGGGGTGAAAGGAGGACAAGGGTGAGAAGAAGGGCACGTCGTCCGGCTGTCCGTCCGAAAAAACAAACGCGTTCTCCGACGTCCCGGCGCTTAGGAATCGCCATGTGTGCGGCGGCCGCCCCGCATATAAATATAACAATTAAAAAGAGAGCCCGACCGAGTGCCGAAACGTCCCGCTACGAAGGGTGGGCTACCCCCGCGGGCACCCTCCGCACCGAAGCACGCAAAACAGAAGGGCGCAGTCCTCGCGATCGTCGCTGCGGGCTTCCTTCGGCGGCTCGTTGGAAAAACAACCGGCGAAATTACACAAACCGTGTTTCCCAACCGCTCTTGCGAAATTTCGCTTCGCAATTTTGCCGACGGGGACCGAGCCGACAACGGCCGCGGGAATCGCACGTGTCCGTTCCGCTCCGCCGTAGGAATCGCGGAATAGAGAGAGGGAGAGATCGTATCGCGACCGTAAGCGCGAATTTTACGTAGAGCCCGTTTCCGTCAACACCGCTGTGGAAATTGAACGGAGTTCAACCGACTCTACGCGCCCCGTTCTGGCCGCGCATTATAGAAAGAGCCGCGCGCACAATCAGTTAAACCCCTCGCGATTAACGTTAAATAACGTCCATAGAAACAGCCCGCGGTAATTTTAACCCCGTTTGCGCCCCGGTCTTATTTAACCTACGCCGGTGTTATCATAATTATCGCGCTGAAAACGTGAACGGCCGCTTACACAGTCGTCGTCAATAGTGCGTTTCTCGCAAACGCCGCGACGGCTTGTCGATTGCGCGACGCGAGCGGTTGTGGCAAGAAAGAAAAACAAAAAACACTCGAGCGCGGGAAAGAGAACGGGGGGAAAGAAAAAGAAAGAGGGACGACCGGGGGAGGAAAAGAGGCGACGATCGGCGCGAGGGGCGCGTGGGCGCGACCAGAGAGTTAATTCACGAAAGCGCCGAGGCGAATTCAATTCGCGCGAGTTAGCGCGTGACGAAATCGCCGCCGCTCGTCGCCTCGTTGCCGGCGACCTGGGTCATAACTATTTAAATGCCCGCGGCTGGATAAATTGTTGTATTAGTCACGCCAAGCTTATATTAATACACGGCTCTCTCTCTCTTCCGCCCTCCCCTCCCACCCTCCGCCCGTTTTACGCGCCCGCGCGAGTTCGTCGCTCGCCAGCCCGGTATTGCCAGTCCTTATGAAGCGCTGCGCGGCTTCTGCCGTTTCGCCTATGTCCGCGGGCTCTGTTACACAGGATCTATTTCTGCGTCGTTAATTGTAAATGCCGGCGACTCACCGCGGATTGCCAAGTTGCGTCGCGCCGCAGATACGCGGCGATTCCCCCGAGGTGGCTCCATGGCGCCGTTCGGCTTCCTTCGCGATCATTCCTCCCGCGGAATCTCGTATCGTTCTCTCCCCGATTTTTACGCACGATCCGAATTCATTTTGTATGATTACACGACACAGGCAATTTGAAAATCACGCGCGCAAAGTAAACGTACTCCCCCGAGACGAAAGAAAGAAGGTGAAAAAGAAAGTAGAGGGAGAGACGAACCGGAAGAAAAATCGGAAAAAACCGCTTTCCGAGAGCGCGTCTGCGAAGACGACGTAAGTGAAATTACATGAATCGCGTCACCGGATTCTCGGAGTCTGGGTTATTACTCCCGACCTCGATTACGACAGACGCACCTCGACTCGGAATCGAGGCTCTGCTTCGATACGGCGCGCAATCGTTCCGATCGTTTTCTCTCCTGGACCGATTCGACGCGTCCTCGCGGGGGAAGAACTGGCAGGAGGGAGGAGAGGAGGCGCGGAAAAGAGAGAGAGGGAGAGAGAGAAACGGCCGCCGATGGTGGTTATTTAGGCGATTACGCTCGCGAGCGACGTGCGCCGCGCGCGTTTGATCGCATCGTCGCGACAAATCGACATTGTGTCACTGCGCCTCGTTGCAGCAATAACGCATATAATATACGCGCGCGAGCGCCGCGGTGCGTGCGGCGAGCGGGCGAGCGTGCGCGCGCGTGAGCGAACGCGCACGAGCGGCATTACAGACCGCTGATGTAATACTTTTATGATCGGCCGCCGCAATTTCTCGGTGACAACACTCGCTATTTCTGTCGCCGAGTTTGTGCACATGACTGCCGCGACGAGCAATATATCGCGCAAATACGCGCGACTCTCGCGCCGGTATTTATACAGGGTGTCCGCCGGCATCGCCGACCTGCCCGCCCCTCGAATCGCGGACGAAGCGTGGCACGATTTCGGACTTTGAATAAGTGACGAGGACCTTATCTCCGAGATAAAGGGAAAAAATGGCGAGAGTGCCGTCTCGCTCTGACGAGGAAAACGATCCTCCTTTCGAAGGATCTGTACTTCCGCGGTTCAGATTTATGTTGGAAAAAGAAACGTCGATATATTTGACGATTTGAAGACACGCGGCGAAATTTCAGCTTCTTGGCTGTCGCTTAGCGTCTTCAAGTCGCTTTCGCTCTTATTTAACGAATACTCGGCACTCTCAATGTACAACTTCGCTAGATAAAATATTTATTTATTTATTATTTTATTATTATTATATTATTATTATTAAAAATTAATACCCTTTCGGTTCGGTCGATCACAAGTCAACTTCGCTTCGGAGAAATTTTGATCCGGAGCGTCAACCTCGGAGACTATTCAAAGGTTGAAACCCGCCAAAATCTCCGCGTACGATATGCATGGACCGTCATCTCGCCGCGGCGGGGAGGCAAGGTAGTCGACGTCAAATTCGGAACGCGAGTCCTCTCTCTCTCTCTCTCTGCGCGATGTACCGGGACACCCTGTACAATATATCGAGCGCGCTCGTTTTATTTTCTTTCTTTTTTTTCGCTCCCTCCGCCCGCATTGTTCGTCCGTGTAACGCGAGTCGTTTCTCGCTTTCAAAACGGAGCTTCCTTAAGCGGAGGAGAAAATCGAAGCGGCGATGAGGGGGTACGCGCGCGGCCGCTCGCTCGTTACGTAGGTGGAATCAAGGCGAAACTTTCCGCATGAAATTGCAACGTGCGCCCGGCCGTGTAATGCCCGGTGGTACAACTCACCTGTACGTTACATGTCTTCGTACGCTGTCGATACCGCTCGCGGTAGAGGCTGCGCTTTTTCCATGCGGGGTGCATTGCTCTCGTCGAAGTCCATCTGCGCGTCGACGCCTCCTCCCCGCGGTTCTCCGGCCTGTCACGAAGGAGAGAGAGAGAGTGAAAAAAAAGGGACACGATTGAGAAAAGTGAGCGACGACGGACGGCTACGGCGGATCGGATCAGCCTGAAGCCGAGCGAATTAATGAGTAACTTGGGGAATTTCAAAACGATCGCCTTCTTAACGTGATTTAACAATCATGCGATCACCGTCGGCCGCGTTTTGATATTACGAACGCGGCCCTTGACCCCTTTTTCCCCATCCCCTTTTCCTATCGTCGACAAGATAATTCTGAAAAAGAAAATTTCTAAGGCCATTTCTAACGACAAGGTGTGTACTTGCTCGGCTTGGCTTCCGGGTTGTCCTTCATGGATTTGTTTCCGACGTTTCGTAAACATTTCAGTCCGCTTCTTCAGAGAGGGGAACGACCTGAAACTGTCGCTCCTCTGCGGGAATTCCCTTTATAATGGTGTAAGGGACGATTAGTTGGAGCGTGCAGAGCGGGGAATTGGGAAGAGAAGGAGAAAGAAGGAGAAAGAGATTTAAGTTTTTGTCGAATATTATGGGACAAATCCAAGGAGATCGCGGAATCACGCCGGAAATCAAACCGAATGTTTCTCCACACCGCGGAAGTCTAAAGCCTCAAGGACGTACACAGTAAACAATATTTACTTGTGTTCGAAAATCGATCCTTTTTAAAATATATTTGTGTTAAATCTTTAACATATCCGGTATGTTAACTTAACACATTGTATTTATATTATCTCTTCACCTTATGTTAAATTAGCAGAAAAATTGGAGTCGGTAGTTCGGAACGTATGAAAATGTAAATTTAACACAAAATCTTGATTGTGCATCACAATGGTCAGTCGCGCAAAAAAGTTGCAACACTTCTTCATACAAGTTTCGGAACACATCCCATGTCTAATGAGAGAATTTGTTTTTAAGTAATTCTCAAGATACACATTTCCCCACCGGATACGAGATGCGTTGGGAAACTCACGGAGGAAAAGTGTCGCAATCTTTTTTATTACTGATCACACTTGATCGATCATTTGTTTGCGATTTCAGCTCGCTTCTGGCGCAGAACTGCAGCCACACGGTATACGTACGCACACAGCCGTGTGCGCGCGGCTGAAGGGCTAAAGATCAAAATTGGCTCCCATCTGCGAATACAAAGCTACCCTTCGCGCACCCTCGGACACGTTAATCCGCAGAAATACGTCGTCGCGGTGGCGAAGATTGCACGGGCGGTGAAATAAGAGAGTGATTTATCGGTCGGCCGACTTTTACCGCCCGACTTTTCCCATCCGGACGAAGGGCCGGATGATCTCGCGCTTCGCCGCTCGTGTCTTCGTGGCACCCACGCGCGATACAACTCACCGACAGTGTCTTTCGTGGTATGCGTGTGACTGTGTCGAACATGTGCTCTTCCCTTTTTTCCCAACGTGCCGCGGTATAAAACAGATCACGCATTCCGTTGGTCGCGTGCATTCCACAATAAAATAATCCGAAAGAGTGGAGAACCGTCGTAATATTCTCGCCTTCCTCTTTCACTTATATTTCTATTTTTTTCTTTTTTTTTATTATATCTTACGTGTAACACGGAACAACTGAAATTTAGTTATCAGATCTAGTTTTCAGCTTCGAGAGCTAATTCTTTTTTCCCCGTGTATACGACTATAGTCGTAACTGTGTCATAGTATAGTCGTAAGAATGAATTCCCACGGTTAAAAACTAAGTCTGGTAACTGAATTTCAGTTGTGCTATATGAACGGCTGGTTTTTCGCTGCGGGAGCTAATTCTTTTTTTCCCGTGAAGGCGACGGCCCGTAATTCTGAACGCGTTCACAACGATGTTAAACGCGCAAACCAGACAAGAGACATGAGCATTCTCAGTATCGCTTGTATTTTAAACACAGTGACAACAGTGCGCGGTGTTAGGAAAAATCAATAATCACGTGTGTTTATAGCAAAATTCCTACTCGGAACTGCTGATAAATTGACTTGTGCGCCGTAAACGTCGTTGTAAGTGCGTTCCGAATACGAGCCGATAACTTTGGCGACCGAGGTGCTGCGAGCGTACGTTTTCAATGGTCCGCATGCGGTTCGCGAGAGACACGTCAGGTTGAGAAGACGGAGATGGAAAGGATGACGGTAGGTAGAAAGAAAGGGGGAGTAGTGCGGCACGGAAGAACCGAGCGGGGACAGGCGGTGGGCAGCAACGGTTACAGCAGAATAAACCCCTCAATAATGAGTTCCGCGAGTGAATTCCCTCGGTACGCGGAGCGAGAGAAAGAGAGAAAGAGGCTCGAGATAATAAAACAGAACGGGGCGCGCTGGTGGCGGTCGAAGGGGTCAGAGGAACGGCGGCGGCGAGTGGGCGATCGAGGGACGAGAGGGAGAAGGGGGCCCGAGAAAGAGAGAGAGAAAAAGAGAGAGAGAGAGGCAGAGGGAGGTTTCCGCACCGGCAAGAGTAATAGTAAGAGGCAATAAAATATAATGAAATAACATCCAATCCAGGAGAGATATTGTGAAAATATTATTACTAACTTATTACTCGTTGGGCACGGCGTACCACGCTCTCGACCTTTTTCTCCATTTTTCCCTGCCTTTCCTTCTCTCTCTCTCTCTCTCTCTCTCTTTTGCCCTCACCTCCCTTTTCCTCCACCTTCTTCACTTTCCTCCTCCGCCACCCCGTTTTCTCCGGTCTCCGTTCCCCGTCCCCCCTTGCCCTCGATAAACGTATACAGGCTGCGTCTGAAAAGATGGGAATCGATAGTGTTATTTGCGAAGGATTGCTTCTTGGCGAAGAAAGAGAGACAGAGAGAGAGAGAGAGAGAGAGAGAGAGAGGAAAGAAAGAGGAGAGAAAGAAATCCGAGTGGATCTTCTCGATCGCTGATGCTGAATATCCCGTTAATTAACGGAAGACACCGAAACTTTCCGCTCCGCAGAGAGAGTCCGCATGTGAGATGAAGCGCGGTTTCTCTCACGTATGCTCGCGCACTCTCTTCGGGCTTAATGCGCGAGAAAGATCCGAGTTACGCCGAGCCAGGTGAGATTCGACGTGCAAACTGGCGGGCGCGGCTTGAATCGCGCTTTAATTCTCACGTGTGTTCGCGTTAAATATTAGACGACGAAACAATACGATCCCGATAATTGAGGGAGAACAATAAGAGCAATGAAATTGTGATAATACAGCAACAGCGTTTCCCGTCCCACCTCATTCTTCGCCCCGCTGCCGCCCTCCGTCCGCGTGAAGGAAGGTCCATTCATCTTGCTGCTGTAAAAATGTCGCGGAGAGCTGACATAAAAAATATTTCTTGACGGTCGTTCCTGTTTTGTCTGAAAATCAGCTTGTCGCGCTCTTCCACAAATTTCGTCCCGTTTTCACTGAAAATTCTCTCTCTCTCTCTCTCTCTTTTTAAGAGCCGCCCTCGTACGCACCCGCGGCCCGTCATCTCCTCGCCACGCGATCGCGGAGATGCGGTAATATTTTTTCTCCCATCACCCTTATCGAGGACTCGATAAAATCGCTCACCCGCGGTAGATGACGGCGGTGGCGGTTCCCGCTTCGACGAGAATCACGCGGCGAAGGATTCGTTCTTGCGAAAACAAAAAGGAGCGAAAAAAAGGAAAAGAAAAACACACGAACGCCACGGACGCCGGGGCGTACGCGCGGCGAAGTCGCGGAGTCGCAGATTTCCGTGGCTCGTTATTTTAAATTAGCGAG